CTGAGGATGTAGCTCAATGATCGAGTATTTGCCTAGCATGCATGCAACTCTCAGTTGATCCCCAATATGGCAAAAGATAAAAAGGAAATGGCAGTAGCAATTTGTTTTGGTAACAATTTTATTGAGATATGACTTCATTGAGTCATAAAATTCACTGATTTTAAGTGCACACCTCAGTGGTTTTAAGTATATTCAGTTTCAAACAATCATCACAATCCAAGCTCAGAACCCATTCAGCACCCCCAAAAGAAGTACTGTTCCCTTTAGCAGTAGCTTGCATTTCCTTCCACTCTTCCAGCCCCAGGTGGCCACTAATCGACTCTCTGTGTATGGATTGGTTTTTTTATGGACATTTCCTATGAATGGAACCAGACAGTATGTGGTCTCTTGTGACTAAGTTCTTTATTTAGCAGAATGTTTTCAAGGTTTGCCCAGATAGCATGTTTTCGGTACATGATTCTCTTTATGGCCAACTGATGGACACTTTGGTTATTTTTACTCTTGGCTATTAAGAATAATGCTGGTGTGCATATTCGTGTACAAGTTTTTACGTTGATGTGGATTTTCACTTCTCTTCAATTCTACCTATGAGTGAGACTTCTGGGTCATAGGGTCACTTTATGTTTATTTTTAAATTTTTTTTTTGGTACTGTACCTAGGACTTTGTATATACGAGGCAAGTGCTATACGAGTGAGCTGTCAGGCTTTTTATTTATTTACTTATTTCTGAAATAAGGTCTTCTTTTTTCTTTTTTCATCTCCAAAAAAAGTTTATTAGCACTATTAAAAACATTTTCTTGGATAGTAACAGAAAGAGTTTCTAAACATGAAAGTACCAGTGGCTCTATCTTCTAACCAGTGTTTGGAACATAGTGGGTCACTTTTTTGCCAGTTTTCATTTTATTGAAAACGGTCCATGAATGGATTCCATGAAGCCATGACTATTGCTTTGCGAGTGAGTTCCTGCTGCAATTAAGTATAAAAAATATCTTCTGTCATAACTGAAGTGTGACCTGCACTGGACTGTGACTCTCAGTAAAGATTTGATAAAAATCCACAAACAGTTGGGTTTTCGTTTTTAAAAAACATTCCTTTTACACACTACAAAGAAATAATTAGTATTTTGGCTTTTTCAATTCCTACAGGATATTGAGAATGGTAGTCCCCAAAGGTCCTCCCACCGCATAACTGTGAACGCAGACCCTGTTTGGGACGGCGGTGCTGTGGGTGGACTCTGAAGACTTTGGTCTCCATGTGTTTATACCAGCTTGAGAACAAAGACAGCATCATGCAGCACGTAGTGGTCATTGTACAGGTCGCCTTCACACAGGTACGGCAGTCTGGTGAAAGCTTCGATGACAAAGCCAGCTTTTCGGAACACTTCAGGCAGGCTGTTCACTTTGACTTTTTTTTGTTTTTTGGTTTTTCTCCGGTACCGGGAACCGAACTCACGACTTTGCACATGCCAGGCAGGCGCTTTTGCCGCTGAGCTAAATCCCCAGCTCCGGCTGTTCACTTTGAAATAAGGTCTTCTAAATTGCACTTGCTGGCCTTGAACTTGCAGTCCTTCTGCATCTGCCTCCCCAGTAGCTGAGATTATGCGAAGTTATGTTTAACATTTTTGTGGACCTGAATCTCACTTTTTTTTTTTTTTTTTTGGAGACAGGGTCTCATTATGTAGTTCAGGCCAGCCTTGAACTCACTATGGTTGGCCTTGAACTTGCAGCGATCCTCCCGCCTCAGGCTCCTAAGTGCTAGGATGACAGGCGTGCACCACCACGCCTGGTGCGAATCTGAAGTATTTAGATGCCTGTATGAATAACTGTACTCTGAATAGGTGTTCTAAATTAGCATATGGTACAATCTTCTAAATTGTAGAAGATTGATGTTTGATTGGCTAAATTCTCACTTGCAAAGTTGTTCTGTAAAGACATTTATTTTGGCTGGATGAGGAGAGAAAAAAGATACAACTATGGCGGAAACAGCAGAGAGGAGATTGGGAAAATAAAAAAGGCCTTATAAATTGCAGGTTCTTCAAGTTTTAAGAGCTTCCCCCATTTCAAAATATTTTCATGTAGAACTCAGTCTGTGCATTTTTAGTTATTACTCACCTAGTAAGATCATGTTGATATTGCCATTCTGCTTACTTTCCATTACGGCTACATGGGAATTTTGACAACAGAATTGCTCAATCTTGTTCCTTCGATGGGAATAGTAACATTGGTTGCCATGTTGCTCTCCTTACAGAATTATTTTGACTTTTCGCCTAAGTATGCTTAGCCTCTGTGGTTCTGATGGAGTACTTTGGTTCAAGACTGCACATACAAGCAGGAGCGTGAGGGTTTTTTTTTCTTTCCTACCCCCATTAGTTTACTCGGTATTACACAGCGCCCAAGTGCAGTACCTGCCGGCCTACCTCCTCCTAATTGGCCACAGCCACTATTCTTCGGTTGCCTAATTCAGTGGGAAACAAAGACCAGCTAAAGAGGAGATGAATAATAAATGCACCATTTGTACAGGTGTGTACAAAACTCCGTTCTTTGGAGTGCTGAGGGTCTATAGTAGAATTTTATTTTATTTTATTTTTATTGTTGTTTTGTTTTTGTCCTGGAGATTGCTTCATGGCTGGCAGCCACACGCTTTATCACTGAGCTACATTACCAGCCCCAGAGTTCTTCATCTGAGATCCATGGTTGATTTCTGGGTATTTAAATTGTACGCGTGTGTCTGTGTGCTTTAATAATGTATGAATGCCTATGTGCATTTTTCTGGGGAAAGACTCCATAGTTTCCAGCAGATTCCTACGACGGCCGGAAGTTACCAACTCCGTTACTAGCTCCTGACAGGTTTGCAAAAGGATACAATTCCTCTAGTGCTTATATTCCTCCAGCGAAGCCTGAGCCTCTATACCCTACACAAAAATGGCGGGAGCTGCTTCATACGCGGCCCCTCTCGCAGAAAGGCTAAAGGGCCCCTCCACTTTTGCTTCACTGTCCCACACCTGACCCCGGAAGGACTCCGCCTCCCGCAGCCAGGCGCCGCCGCTGAGCGCCAGGCTGCGGCAGGGGAGGCAGGCGTGGGCAGGCTGCACCTTGCCTGGGGCGACAGGTACCGGGAAGAAGGGGTACTGTAGGGGTCGAGCGCAGGCCGCGGGGCGAGAGGGGCGGTGAGCAAGCTGCAGCATGCGTTCTCGCCGGCGGGACTTGGGGTGCTCGCCGCCCGGGGAGAGCGGGAGGCCCGGCGGTGGAGCGAGGCAGGGCGGGGAGCGCCGAGAGGGGTGGGCGCGGCGCGGCTGGGAGCCTGAGGGAGGGACGGCGGCCGGGCAGGGCCTTTTCAAGTCGCTCTGGTGAAGGAGCCCGGTGGGCGCGGCGCCGCGGAGGGGTGGGCGGCGGCGAGGCCGGGTGTGGAGCACGCTGCCTGGCAGGGGCCGTTAGAATTGCAGCGGCGGGGAGCAATTTTGTGGGCAGTGGTTACACCTACGGTATTTTCCAGAGGGAGGGCTCCAAGAGCTTTATTATTGGGGTATTTTTAACTGAGAACTTTTTTTTTTTTTTTTTTTTTTTTTTTGTCTTTTTGAGACAGGGTCTCGCTATGCGGTCAGGCTGGCCTTGAGCTCACTTTGTAGCCCAGGCTGGTCTCGGACTCGCAACGATCCTCCTGCCTCATCCTCCCGAGTGCAGGGATTGCAGGCGTGCGCCACTACGCCCGGTTTAACTAAGAATTTTTTGCTACCTTTGAAATGTCTTGTCAGGGTTCAGTTGTGCAGGTTTATGTGTCGCGCCAGATTTTCTTGATACTTCAGACTTGTTTTGTTGGGTTAGAAAGTCAAAATGGTAAAATGGAATTTTAAAGGTGTTAAAAATACAAACTGTGTTTATGATACTTTTTAACTCCCCAGTGGTTAGGATAGAAAGAATCGGGGAACATTGCACCGTGCAATATTTTTGGTGATATTGTTTTAGACTCTTTTACAAATCTGTCATCTTCAGTACAGCGGAAAAATGTTTTAGAAAAATTTTTTATTAGTACATATTTGCAGTGCACAGTGGTTACCCTTGTCCCGGGGAGTTGGCACATGTACCTAACACAGCTTAAAAAGACAGTTGTTTTTACGTCCCTTTTTCTCTCTCCCCTTTCCCGTTTAAAATCTTTATAAGAACTATTGACAAAATAGAAGCCTGCGTTTTATTTTCTTTCTCCTTTGCTTAAAATCTTGTAATGCTTTATTGTGGAGAAAATTTGAGTGACCTACTGAGTCTTTTTTCTCTCTCTCTTTCCTTTTTTGTTCTGCTGTAACTTACATTACCAAAGTCATTTAATTAGTAAAGTTTTTTTCTCAAAGTCAGAAGTCAGTTTTTAGGGGAGAACAAATGTGCTGTACTTTACTGTAGTGTTTTAAAAATGTATTAGGCAGTTATTTTACAAAATAGCGAATGCGATAGAAACATAAGGAGAGCAGTAGTTCCTTAGCCAGCCTCCCAGTACCCCTAGACTTATTTCTCCGTGGGAATATTTTTCACTGGTTCAGTGGTTCCTTTGAGGTTTTTCCTGTCATCTCAAGGCAGTGTTCTGTTGTGTCTATCCCCATTTGTCGGTTGGAACAAGTATACTTCCTGAGTTAAAAGCTGTAGGGAGCAGATGGGTGTGGCGTGAGGTTCGCACAGCAGTGTCACTGTGAGGGTTTGCTAGGGGTCAGCAGTAGTGACTCCAACCCTGAGAGCTGTTTCTGTGTGTCATTTGAAAGGTAACCGCAACTTAGTGGTTTTGACCCTTTTTTGAATAAAGGCAAGTATTCACAGAAAGGGATGGCCTATTGCCATGTAGGTTAAAAAACAAAGTACAGAGATACATGCAAGAAGAAAGAACAAACGACCTAAGGACCCTATAATGGAGGAGGAAAATTTTATGGGGATGGTTGGTAATTTTTATTTTCTTTTTGAAATTATATAGCACTATCTGAATTTGGTTGGTAAAAATGTTCTAGCTTCCTCGGTCATTCACTGGAGAGAGTTCTTGATTCTTTTCTTTCTTTTTTTTTTTTTAAAGACAGGCTCTTGATCTGTAGTTCAGGCTGGACTTTAACTCACTATATAGTCCAGGCTGGCCTTGAACTGGCAGTGATCCTCCTACCTCAGCCACCTGAGTGCTGGGATTACATGCATGTGCCACCATGTCTGGCATTGATGCTGTTCTTGATTGAATGAAATTTTCATTCCTCAGGACCTTTTGCATGTATGCTCACCCGGCAACCTTTTGACTTACTAATTCGGTTTCCCACAATCTAGTTTTAATTTTTTTTTTTTTTTTTTTTTGAGAACAGCTATGTAGCCCAGGCTGGCCTCAAACTCATGACAATCCTCCTGCCTTAGCTTCCTGATTGTTGGAATTAAAGGCATGCACCACTATGCCAGGCAGGAACCATCATGTTTTGTGAAGCAACTACTACTTTAAGGACCTTTCAGAGTGACAACTGCTTCTTCTTTAAGTACATGATCTTTTATGGCAGGGCGCAGTAGCATATACCTATAGTCTTGAGCCCAGGAGTTAGTGCCCCTCCTGGATAATATAGGGAGGCCCTCTGTCTTTAAAAAAAAATTTCTTTTTTTCTTTTCTTCAGTTTCAAGAGAAATAGCATGCACTAAACACTATCAAAATCACATGGCGTGTATGCGGTATTTCTTTGAAAACCTTTAAAATGGACTAGCAGGAGAATCTGAAGCTTAGCCACTGAACTCTGAGTTTCCTTTCTAGCCCCAGAAGTCTGTTCCAGATTGCATTCAGCAACTCCCCACCTCCCCTGTTAATATAACATGCAGGAAATCATGGGAAGACTTTAAATTACTACCTATCTAAAAGCTAATAAATATATTTAACGAGAAAAGAGAAAATCTAGAACCTGCAATTTCCTAAAGAATATTTCCTGAAGCCGGGCATGGTGGTGCACACCTGTAATCCCAGCACTGAGGCAAGAGGATCGTGGTGAGTTCGAGACCAGCCTGGGCTACAAAGTGAGCTCCATAGTGAGACCCTGTCTCAAGAAGACAAAAAAAAAAAGGAATATTTTCTGCCTGAACTCAGAGTTTTCATTTAGTTCATTTTCCTCAGTCTTGGGCTATTTGGCTAAGGGCAAGTATAAATCTAGTTCATTTTCTCATTTACTGCTTTGATGATTAATAAATATAATTTCAGCTCAAGTATAATGTCATGAATAACTACACAAAAACTGATAGTTCAAGTTTTACTTTGTATCTTTTACTGGTAAGAAAATAACCAGAAATCTTAGTGGCTGATGAGTTGTTATGTTTCCTTTAGTGAAGATTGGAAGAAGAGTCATGTCAGAAGAAGCAGTGAGCGAATCACAGTTTTCCTTGAAGGCAGCGGCACTCAAAGTGTTTGATCTTCCTCTGTCTTGGTACTATTCTCTCTCTCAGGTAAGCAAAGAAAGCAGGTATGAAGCTGAATAATAAGTTGACTGAGCGTGTTTACTTGGCAGGAGTTCAGTTTCAGCTGAGGGACTGATCACTGGGTTGGTTGGTGCTGGGAATTAGATCTAGGGCCTGGTAGGTGCTAAGCAGCTGTGCTCCCACTAAGCTCCGCCACCCTAACCCAAGTTTGCAGTCTTTTATCCACCCTGTTCAGTATGGGACAAAGTGTTTACTAAAATAGTTTAAAACCTACTTGGTTTTTACTGTTTATTATTTCCTGGGTGTAAACTAAAAAGTCATATTTACAATTTGTAAAGGGGTTGTACTAAAATTTGTTTTCTTATTCTCAGTAAACTGACACAATCCATTACAATTACTTCTTTTTTTGTTTGTTTATTTGTTTTTGGTTTTTTTTTTCCAGTACCAGGAATTGAACTCATGACCTTGTGCTTGCCAGGCAGGCGCTGTGCAGCTGAGCTAAATCCCCAGCCCCTACAATTACTTTATTTTGCAAAATTCCTACAGTCATTTGTCAACAGTTCCCCAGACCTGTTCTCCCCAGCTCCTGGCAACTTCCATTTATTCTTGTTTGTTTGTTTGTTTGTTTTTTTCTGGTACCGGGGATTGAACTTAAAACCTTGTACTTGCTGGGCAGGCGCTGTGCTGCTGAGCTAAATCCCCGGCCCCTTTCCACTTATTCTTTCGCTGTGAACCCGACTAGATAGCTTACTGGTGGGATCATGTAGAATTATCTCTGTGACTCTCTTATTTTACTTAGCATCCTGAAGGTTCATCCGCATTGTAGCGTGTGTCAGAATTTCTTTAGGGGTGGGTGGAATTAGCAATCGCTTGTCTGAATAGACCACGTTTTCCTTGTGCACTTAGGCGTTGATGGACCCTTGTGCTGTTTCCACATTTTCGCTGTGATGAATAATGCTCTGATGAGCATGGATGTATGAATTTTAAGACCTGCCTTCAGTTCCTGTGGTTTTTACTGCTGAAGGAGCTGGCATGCTGTTTTCCCCAGTAGCCGTATTGTTCTGGATTTCTACCAGCAGTGCAGTTTTTCTACGTCTTACCAGTGCTCGAGGTTTTCTATTTTATTGATAACAGCCATCCTGATGGGCTGGAGCGGTACCTCATTGTGGTTTTCATTTACATTTCTGTGATGCTTAGTGAGGTTGAGCATATTTTCATGTTCAGTTGGCTATTTGGTTATCTTGTTTGAAGAAGTGTCTGTGTTCTTTATCTAATTTTAACTGGGTTTTATTTTTGTTGAGCTTTAGAAATTCCTGTATATTATGAGTATTGATTGCTGTCAGATACATGATTTCCACCGGATGTGACAGCACACCTCTGAAATCCTAGCATTTAGGAGGCTGAGGCACGAGGATCACTGTGAGTTCAGGACCAGCCTTCATGGTGTGTTCAGGGCCAATCTGAACTATATAGGGAGACTCTGTCTCAAAAAAAAGAAAAAAAGATACAAGATTTCTGTAGCTGGGCATGGTGGCACACACTGGTAATCCCAACACTCGGGAGGCTGAGGCAGAAGGATCCATGAGAGTTGGAGGCCAGCCTGGGCTACAAAGTGAGCTCAAGGCCAACCTGAACTGCATAGTGAGACCCTGTCTCAAAAAAAGAAAAAAAAAAAGGAAGATTGCTGAATATTTCCTCCCATTTTGTGGGTTCCCTTTTTGTGGGTTGTTCATAGTGTCATTTGATGTATAAAAATTTTTAAAATTTCAAGTCCAATTTGTCTGCTCTTTTGTTGTCTGTGACGTTGGTGTCATGTCTAAGAAATCATCGCCAAATCCAGTGTTGTGAAGTTTACAGTCTTTTATTCAGGTCCTTTAGTTAGTTTTTGCCACCTTTCCTGTTTTTTATTTAAATATCCAGTTGAAGGCCCCTTTTCCTACTGAATGATTTTGCACCTTGTCCAAGTCCTTTGACTGTGTATATGAAGATTTTTTTCTGGGCTCCCTGTTGTATTCTGTTGGTGTATATGTCTGTCAGCATGGCTAGTTTCTTTGTTGTCTTTGTCATGAAACTGTGTTGAATTTTGTCACCTTTTTTTTCTTTCCTTTTTTTAGTTTATTGGTACAGTGTAGGCATATACAATGATCACATTCATCATAGGGAATTTGTACCTGGACATGATATAACTTGATTTGTCTTTTTTTTTCTCGCTCCCATTGCCATCCTTTCCCTTCAACCTCTCTTCCTCTCCTTATTTATAAGGCTTTGTTTCCATTTTATCCTTTTCTCATTTTGGTGTGTGTGGTACTAGAGATTTATTAATTCTCCACATTCCTCAGCACAGCTCCCTCTGTTTTTTAAATTTCGAGACAGGATCTTGTTAAGCTAAGTCAGGAACTTGCCTATGCTGGGCTTGAAGTTGTGATTGTCTTGTCTCAACCTGTCAGCGTACTGGAATTACACGTTTGTGCCACCATGCGTGGTTGTTAAACGCTTGTTTTTTTCCAGTGGAAATGACCATGTGGTTTTATTTTCTTCATTCTGTTACTGTGATGTAATACATTGATCAGTTTTGTGTTGAACCATCCCTGGATTCCAGGAATAAATTTCACTTAGTCATAGTGTATAATCCTTTTAATATGCTGATGAATTTTGGTTTGCTAGCATTTTGCGTCAGTATTCATAAGGGATATTGGCCTGCAGTTTTCTTGTTGTTTTTGTTTTTGATAGTGCTGAGGATTGAACTGAGGGACACCACCGAGCTATCTACCTAGCCTTTTCTTACTTTTTTTTTATTTTAAGGTAGTCTTTTTAAGTACCTATGCTGTCCTTGAATTTGAGAGTCTCCTTCCTCAGCTTTCTGAGGAGCTGGGATTGTAGGTGTGTCCCACTGTGCTTGGTATTTGTCATAATTACTATAGCTTGGCCATTGTTGGCTTTGCAAAAAGTGTTAGGAAGTGTTCAAGTGTGACAAGGAGTAGTTTTTTTTTCTTTTCAAGACAGGGTCTCACTATGTAGTTCTGGCTGGTCTTAAATTCACTGTACAGCCCAGGCTGGCCTCGAACTCAGCAGTCCTCCTGCTTCAACTTCCCAAGTGCTGGGATTACTCTTTTTTTCTTTTTCTTGTTCTCCCTCCCCCATTTTTTTTTTTTTTTTTTTTTTTTTTTTTTTCTTTTTGAGACAGGGTCTCACCATGCAGTTTAGGCTGG